TGTTGTGTTGTCTGTGCATGCACATCTGATTTCTGACTGTTGTTTCCACATGGCCTATATAGCTTCTGCAAGTGTTACCCAGTGTGGATAGTGTCTGTTTCTAATTTGGTGGGATGGGTAACTCTGGAAAAATAAAAGTGTAAACTACTATCCAGTTTATGATATTCATTTTTTTTTAAATCAAGTGCTCTGATCTAAATCAATATTTTAAGCCATGTTCTATACAACTGAAAAATCAGAACATGCAAGATAAATTCTTAGAGAATGACATAATTATTTTACTTTGGGTATTGCACAACTGCAATACATCAACAGGGAATAACAGGTTATGTAAATTCCAACATGAGAATATGTCTACATATATGCAGCATAAATTATTCTCCTTATAACATTATATTACCAAGAAAGAGAGCAAACATGCATTATTATACATTTTAAATATATATTTTGATATGTATTGTAAATAAATTGCTAACTTATAAATTATATACTTGTGCATGTGATTGATTCTGAAGAACATGATAATGCCAAATATGCATGTTATTCAAAAACACCCTTCTGCACACTTTATTTTAGATACCTATGGTTCTGGATTCACTTCAGGAAAAGTGCATATAGTCATGTCGGAGACAACCAAAAACATTTGTCTATAGACAAGCACAAGTCAACAAATTACATGTGTATATGGTCCTACACAAGTCACCAGAAATGCATGTCATTATGCAGTTGCATGCAGGTCCTGCAAGACATATAAATACATCACATGTGCATATGGTCCTGCACAAATCAAGAAAACATGAGTGCATATGGTCCTGCACAAGTCAGCAAAACAGATCACATGTGTATATGGTCCTACACAATCAACAAAAATGTATGTCATTATTCACTACCATGCAGGTCCTGGCCAAATCAACAAACACAAGTGCATATGGTCCTGCACAATTCAACATATTACATGTGTATATGGTCCTACACAAGTCAACAAAATTTGCATGTCATAATGTACTACCATGCAGGTCTTGCACAAATCAACAAACACAAGTGCATTATTATGCATATGGTCTTGCACAATCCAATAAAATACATGTGTATATGGTCCTACACAAATCAACAAACACAAGTGCATTACTGTGCATATGGTCCTGCACAATCCAATAAAATATATGTGCATATGGTCCTACACAAGTCAACAAACACAAGTGCATCTGGTCCTGCACATTTTCTCCCTGCACAGTTCAACAAAATTCATGTGTATATGGTCCTACACAAGTCACCAAAATATGTGTGCATAGGGACCTGCAGGAGTAAACAACTTGCATGTGCATATATTGTCCTGCACAAGACAGCAAAAACAAAATACATGTGCATATGGTCCTGCACAAGTGACTAAGTCAGCAAAATACATGTGCATATGGTTGTGTACAAGTCAACAAAACAAAATGTATGTGAATTTGGCATAATTATGTATGGTTCTGCATGAGTCGACAAAATACATGTGAATATAATTCTGCCCAAATCAACAAAATGCATGTGCATATAATCTTTTATGAGTCAAAAGGAAGACATGTGCACATGGTCTTGTACAAGTCAACAAAATACATATGCATATTGTTCTGCACATGTCCACAAAATATGCGTATATGTTACTACAAGAGTCAACCAAATAAATGTGCATGTGTCAGTGAAATAAATGTGAATATGGTCCTTCACAATCATAAAAGACAACATAACGTGTAAATCAGTGGTGGGTTTGCATGGTAAACATAAGTAGTGTATGTGGACCTCACTTCTACACTAATTCTAAGTAAAAGGTCACCTCAAACTAAGGTGTGCACCCTTAGCAACACTAATATATCAGCATTAAATTATGTTAATCATTCTACATATATAATAGCTGTGCCTATGACCTGCACAGTTTATGTGATAAATGTGTATGTGGTCACACGTACACTATGTCCTGATTCAACAATTGAAAATTTGAATAATACATAATAAGATTTGTGTACCTATATAATGGCAATATTATACCAACATCACATAGGCAACTAACTCCAATCAAAATTTTTGGCTCCATGAACAACATATAAGTAAACTTGAGTAAGATCATTCATTGTTCAAACTCTTAAGAGGAAAAGCAGGATTTGTTACCAAGTATGATACCTGTATTGGTAAAAATATTGCAAAATTATAAAAGGAACCAAAAATCTTGAGCCTTTTATTATGAGCTAGCTAACTTAGTTTTAATGGATAACACATGACTTCGTCAGAAGTACTATACTATACTGGCCTGTTTTATACTGGGAATGCAGGAGTGTCAAGTAAATACTACATCAGCATCAATGGAGATCTCATAACTTGTAAAAAGGTAACACACGTCACTGCTGAGCTGTTTATATTCACTCATCAATATCTGGTCTGTGTAGATGATTCTGACATTCAAGTCCTTGAAGAAGCGAAGGGTTTCCACTGTAACAAACAGGTTCTTATTCCCCGGCCAAGGTGAATATAAGAAGCAAAACTGTCTTGTGATATTTTGGATGGACAGTTAATAAAAATGATGTTATCACATAGATGCACATTTTCAAAGCTCAGCAAATTGGAAATCACCGTAAATAGGCAAAAGTTCCTAAAGGAATGAAGTTACCGGTGTGATTGATAAAATCTCCAGGCTTGATCATGGTGTTAGGATTAACGATGTAGGTGAATCACTGACGGCCAGTTGCAAAAACCTCCCAGGAAAAAGTCTACACACTGTAAGGTCTATAATGTAATTGAATATTATTGTTTACAGCAGAGACCTACAGCGAAGGGTCTTTGTTTACAGCTGACATAGTTCATGTAAGAGTTTTCGGGATATCGAGCCCGACATTATTTACTACATATTTTACACCACTGTAGATACACTGACACTGTTTATCGATCGTTTACCAAATTTACTTCAATTGACCATATTATTCCCCAGACGACTCGTAGTAATAGAATATCCATGTAAAAATCACATGTAAATTATTTTGGTCGTCCTGAATTGTGAACTCCTCAGCATGCTTAATGTCCGCATGTAAACTTTACAAGGCCGATTTCGCAACAAAAACTCACTTTACAGACGTTTTTCTGCAAATAACAAGCAGATCACATCGTCCGAAATCCTCAAAATGGTATCACAACAAAAGCTGTAGGATTTTCTGTGGGAAATATGGTATAAATTCGAAAAATTCAGCAGTTCACTAAACCATGCTTTCTCATTTAGTAAACGGATCAATAATGATCACGTGGAAAAGGGTAAAATTAGTTCAATAAAAGAACCAAATAGCTGCTTAGTATAAAGCTATGTACAATACAGACACTGTTATATAATAACATAATAAAACAAGAACATGTCACATAAATGAAATTATTTGCAATAATTACTATTTGACTTTATTTATAAACATAATTTATATTTTGAGTCCAAATACAAATACGCAGAATAACGTCAAAAGAATACAAACCTCAAAACCAGCGGAAATGCGTTTATATGTTGTTTTTTTTACGGTTGTCTATTATCCCCTTGATTTCTTTATGGGACTCTTTTAATTTATATTTAATCTACTCTTTTATCATGTTTCTTGAAATGCAGTTTACATTAATGGTATTGAATTTGTTAGTCTTGGGTGTTGCTTGTCTTCTGTTTGTACTTGTTGCGGGACGGAAATTCATAGGATTTACCTACGACATTTATTTCATTGAAAGTAAATTAAAAGGTCTGCAAATGCCACTAATTGGCAGAACTCTGCCACATAGCCTCATTCAGTAAACTTTCAGACACCTTTTAGTAAACTTTCAGACACCCTCAGTAGATATTCATTAAACTTTTAGACTCCCTTCAGTAGATTTTCAATCACCTTTCAGTAGACTTTCAGACACCCTTTCATTAGTCTTTCACTCACCCTTCAGTAGACTTTCAGTCACCCTTCACTAGACATTCAGACTCTCTTCATTAGTATTTCAGTCATCCTTCACTAGACTTTAAGCCACCCTTCACTAGACTTTCAGTCACCCTTCACTAGACTTTCAATCACCCTTCACTAGACTTTCAGTCACCCTTCAGTTTTCGTTCTTTCACCCTTCAGTATTCTTTCATTCACCCTTCAATAGACTTTCAGTCACTCTTCATTAGTCTTTCAGTCACCCTTCAGTAGTCTTTCAGTCACCCTTCACTAGACATTCAGACTCTCTTCATTAGTATTTCAGTCATCCTTCACTAGACTTTAAGTCACCCTTCACTAGACTTTCAGTCACCCTTCAGTATTCTTTCATTCACCCTTCAGTAGACTTTTAGTCCCCTTCAGTAGACTTGCAGCCTCCCTTCAGTAGACTTCTAGTCACCCTTCAGTAGACTTTCAGTCATCCTTCAATAGACTTTCAGTCTTCCTTCAGTAGACTTTCAGTCACCCTTCAGTACACTTTCAAACACTCTTCAGACTTTCAGTCTCCTTTCAGTAGACATTCAGTCACCTTAGAGTAGACTTTCAGGCATTCTTCAGTAGACTTTAAGATACTTTTCAATAGAGTTTCAGTCACTCTTCAGTAGTCTTTAAGTCTCCTTCCCGTAGACTTTCAGACACTCTTCAGTAGACCTTCAGACACTCTTGAGTAGACTTTCAGACACTTTCCGTAGACTTTCAGACACCTTTCGTGCAGTAGATTATAAGACACCCTTCAATAGAAATGAATACGCTCCTCAGTCTTTAGTAGACTAAGAGACACTTTTAAGTTAATTGAATGGCGGGATTTCATGTTGTGATGCAGTATTTTAAGAAAAAAAGTTTCACTAACTGACGAATAAAGATCTATAATTTATTATTGTAATTTATTTCTAGTTTCTTGAAAGTACATTCCACAATTGTTTAAACCCCTTTATTATTATGAGCTTGTATTTCTTTCTTAAATGGGATCAACATTATTTTCATTTCTTTTCTTTTTATTTCATTATAATTTCGGGGTTTTTTTTTGTTTTGTAGATAATTTAAGCTTATCAGATACTACAGGTGTTTCTCAAAGTTCTACATATGATAACCGTTTTCCATATTATGCAATTGATGATAATGTTGAGACGACATTTTTGAAGTGCGCACATACCAAACCTAATGTTCTATTACCAGCCTGGTTTGAGATAGACTTGGGGAAACCCTATAGTCTATTAAATATCCATGTTCTCTTTAGAAATAAAGGTAAAATATTAACACTTTTTGTTTGCATCAATCCATGCGTTATTTAAGAGGCATCCATGTAAATTTTTCAGCCTACTTTTTTTCGGTGATAATTCATGTCAAAAGCTAAAAACAAATATTTCACATATGATATCATTTATCTGACACTCTCAATAGAATAAAGCGACTTAATAGAATTGGTATATACAGCTCAACAAACATGTTAAGCTCACATGGTTTTTCGCACAAATTAAGGTCACATTGTTATAATGTAATATTGTGTGTTGAGACATCAAAATACATTTTAAAAGTATTTATTTACATTATTTGAGTTTTATTTCATTTACTAAAAACATAATTCATACAAATCAATTGCCAGAACTTTAATATATTCTTGGCTGAAAAATAACAATTATTTCCATTTGATTTTTTGTAGTTTCTTGCCAATTGTAGCTGTCTTTTTATCCATTGTTTTGAAAGCAGTAGCTCTTTGCAGAAACATAGACAGGCACAGTACAGCTACTGTAACTTGTATTTTCTGCACATTCTGACCCTTTTAGCACAGGGAGTGATAATAGTATTTGATCTGTTTGACTACTTTGTATGTTAATGAGGTGGCATTTTTCAGAGTCACCTTCTAAAAATCTAGAATCATGAAAGATTCATGCCACAGCAAAATTTTAACGTTTCAAACCGTAAATGCAGAAGAATTTTCTTTATCATAGAAAAAATTTACTATTAAAAAAAATAAACAATACTTCATTATCCTATCCTGTAGTATGATTTCTCTCTGCAGTGTTATCCCTTTTCGGTGCTACATTTCGACAAAACCCAGATGCGTATGGTAAATGAGCTAAGAATTTTAAAAATTACTCACCTTTAAGAAGAACATTTAAAATTTTTTAACTACATTGTATCAAAGAAAGCACGTTTTATATTAATTGTGAAAAACCTGTGGTAAAGGCCTATAGTAGAAACATCGTACCATTTATTGATAAATTCCCCTCTTCAACATCCACTTTGGAAACTTAAGATAATACTTGAAAAGGACATTTATACTTGACATTGTATATGTAATATAACGTAGGGCTATGTCATCGTTCTGAGGTTCAAAAATAGTAATTATTATTACAAAAATGTGACCTTAATTTGTGCGAAAAACCATGTGAGCTTAAAATGTTTGTTGAGCTGTATATAGACCATGTCATGAGAAATTACGAAGATGAACGTTCTGAATTAAAATCCACAGGCTAAATAGAGTAAGTCATTGTATTCAATGCTTTACGTGAGACGACACATGCGAAGATTTTAATAACTCTGTAATCTCAATACCTTAGCCATTTTAAAATTTAACATAACGATAACATATTTATTACACAACAGTAAAAGATGCCCTAGAGATGAAGATGTTTTGTATGAAACAAAAGTTTCTTTGTGATGTGTTGATATGTTTTGGAGGTATTTAGAATTCAATGCAAACGACGATCAAATATATTTCTTTATTAAGCATATTTAGAAAAATCACTTCACCTGTAATCTTTGTACAGCTTTTATTTTTACAATTGCTGTGTTTTTCTAGAAAGTCAAAGGGAAATTTATTTGAATAGAAAACATTTTCGTTTATACTCACGCGTAGAAATATACACTGAGAAACATGTACTGATATAAAATCAAAATGAAGCTACAGAGACGGTAGTAAAAATATAGCGATGAAGGAACGCACGAAACTTAAATATTGAGTATATTTTTATGCTTTTCGACATTGAAAATGTAAATATACGGATTCGGAATATTTTTAAGTTTCGTGTAAATAAGTCTTGTGTAAATCACAGAGGCTTGCACTTAGGCATATTTTTTAAGAAGTGCTAGAGTGCATTATGGAATATGCCCACGGGACGAGTCTGTGTGGTTCACGCACCAATACCTTAGAGTAAAAATAGAATTTTCTTTAAAATTTTGGTCCAAATTACTTTCATGTGTACATATTTACATTTTGATTAAGAAATAAAAAATAAAAACATATTCACTTTTTTTGTAAAAAGAAAATAAAATAGTTATATATAAGTTATAAAAAAATATGTAATTGTATATTTAAAAATTTCCTGTTTAACATTTTGTCAGCTTTGAAGTGATTGAGCAGGGTTAAAGCCCTCGTTATTCTTTGTTATATTTTTTTTAATAATAAGGCATAGTGTTTGATTTTTGACTGAAATCATAAGTTATTTATTCGCACAATTTTATGATGTAAATGCATGGAACATATAACATGAATCAATAATTATTATTTAAGTAATATTGTCTTCATTACATTCAGAACTTAGGGTAAATTTACATTTCTGTATCGAAAATAGGACCTAATTGAGGACTTCTGTATTATCTGCATCAATGAATTAAACGATAATATCTATATCCACGACTTCCATCGTAAGTTTATATTTATTTGATTTTTCATTAAAGTTTCACACACCTGGCAACCGCATAGAGCTAGACAGTTTTATATTGATGTATCAAATTCCTCTGCATCAACTACAAACACCAGTGAGAGGATTCGTTGTTACAAAGATACAACAGTTGCTCCATACCTTCCAAGCAATCCTTCAATAGCTCTCTGTAGGCAAACAGCAAGATTTGTTATTATTGAGTCAACATACGATTCACCGGAAGATACTGAGTACTTTGGAGCCATTCTAGAGATCTGTGAAGTAAAAGTTGTCGGTATGATATAATCTTTCGAGATTTAATTACAATTCTTTTTTTCACTTAAACGTTGATTACTGAAATACTTGATGCTTCCTTTGCGTACATTCAGAAATGAGCAATATTAGAAACATATTAACAGTATTTAGTTTTAGTTAAGTCATAGTCATTAATTATTTTATCGGCCAAAACAATTCATCAGGGAATGTCAAAAATGTTGTTTAGTTAGTTTTTAGTTAATAATTCACTGTCTTGGTAGCTGAGTCGGTACGTAAAGCGATCGTTCTGTGATCAACATGAGTTCGAATATCGGCCGTGACTGATATAAGTCTTCAAAAAATACTTATCAAAATTATCGTCAAGCGTGCGGTACTTTGAAGTAGAAATTGCAGGTTCTTCAGATGGGACCTTATAACATCTAGGCTCCCTGTCACTGCAGGTGTTGGCGCGTTCAAGATTTCTTACTGCTCAATGGTCCTAGCTGAGTGCCGAGTAAAGGTCTATATATGGAGCCCTTCACCTGTAAAAGGTGACGTCTTTAAAAGAATGAAAAAGTCTCGATTGTGATGTAAACAACTTACATTTACAATCAATCAATGGCAAATAACTCTGTCATCGTAATCCATGTGACAAGCTCATGAGTATATACAACCTATCACTCTGTCGTATTTAAGGTTCCTGTGAAATATGGAGATAACAAACAATAATCAAGTTCAAAACATTAATTCAACGATACCATTTTGGAGTAGAGCAAACACGGATCTCTAAAATCATTGAAGTGGAATTAGGTGCCATAGATATAAATACCTCATGTCGACCCGTCACACACTTTTGTTTATTTTTCAAAAATTCAATATCCTTCAATTTAATTTGTGTATGATCAGTTTGCAAATTGAACTGGAATGACGTGGATAGTTTCGTTGCCTATCGCAATATGTCTAATACCTATAACTTATCCTCACAATCTATGTCAACACCTCAACCTCTATAGTAAACATGTTACTTACGACCTAAGAATGGATTGGTGGATTTTTATCCTTGGCGCCTGTTCATGTACTCCACTTTCTATGATGTTCTCTTCCATAGCTGCAATTTTAAGTTTTAAAGTATGCTTTCTTTTAGTCCATTTAGAGTGTATAAGTCTTATGTCTCCTCATTTCTCTCACCATTTTTTCACTATTTTTCCTGTAGTTCAGTAGTTTTGTATATCATATCGCTCGCTTGTTCTTGTACAGTTGTAAATTTTTCTGGATACTGTTAACAGGTTAACCTCTTATATCCATTGTGAAATCATCGAGATGGAGACGTTTCCCAAATATCCACTTAAAAGATTGGTGAGAATGTTTTGAATGTTAGGTTTACCATAAATAGTCACCAGCGTATCGCAATCGGCTATAGAGGTAATGTGTTGATCCTAATTTGTCGCGGTTTCGAATCCCACTGTGAGACCTTGAGACCGGTCCATATCGGATGACACTGTATAAATTTTATTCAAGAACTTGGCATCCCTAAATGCACGTGTAACAATGTTTAACAATATGCTTTAAGTCTCAAGCATTAATAATGTACGAAAAAATATTCATTTAGGATGTGAAATTGGAAGATATGGGCCTTTCTGTTTCATGTGTCCGAACTGTTCTCTTTGTGACATAGAAACAGGAATCTGTTCTAGGTAGAAAAACTTCAGCAATTAATCAAAAAAACTTTTCATTGTTAAAGTCAATCTTAGTTAAAGTCATAGCTTTAAGGACAGATGATACAAAAAATTGTTTTCTTTGAAATAGACTTAATATCATGTCAGAAGTTTAGAAAAGTGGATAATTCTTAGACTTTTTCTCCTAAGAACTGGAAAATGAAATAAACTTGGAAATTATTACGAATATTTCAATTAAAAAAACAAATATAGGCAGATAACACTCAGTAAAGGTTTACAGGTGAAAACAAATTTCAGAATATGTTACCTGGGTGCTAAAAGTGTAATATAAACTAAAGAAAATATACCAAGCCATGTGACTTTTATGAGGAAATACAAAATGACAAAACAGTAATAAACCATGAGCTGATTTTTACCATTTTGCTTTTCTTAATAAAATTCACCTGGCTTGGTATATTTTTCTAAAGTTTAAATTACACTTTTAGCACCAAGATAACATATTCTGAAATTTGTTTTCATCTGTTAACCTGTACTGAGTATTTTTGTCCATATTTGTAATCATTTTGAAATATTACTAATATTTTCAAAGTCTATCTACTTTCCAGTTCTAAGGAGAAAAAATTCTAAGAAATATCCACTCTTCTAAACTTGTGACATGATATTAAGTCTCTTAAAAAATTATTTGTATCATCTGTCCTTAAGATTTTTTTGATGTAGTAAGTTACATTTTATGTTAATATTTTATGTAAATATTGATTGTTTTTATTTAAAAATACGTGCCAAAACAATGGAATAAACACATTGAATGACTGATGAATGAGAGGACTGAGTAAGCTTTCAACTGTTGAAGAAATGTTTTTGCTTAAATTAAAGTGCCTTATTAAATGTGCACGGACCGAATATATTCAGATGATGTAAAATAGAACGTTTTTATAAATCCTTTAAAACAAAATTTTATTTTGCATTAAAATTTAATAATTTTGTAACGAATAAAATTTGCATGACCATTTTTGATTGATGGGTAATATTCATTTATTTATTATGCATGCAAACATGCTTTACATTATTAATAAAACAAAAAATATACATGTATCTGAATGTTTTTATATTAATTAATGTATGAGTGTGTGGGGCGTTTCGGTATTTGTTGATAGATTACAGTATTAAAATTGTTTTTTTTTAAATTGTGCACTCTACATGTATACTGAATTGTTAGTACAATCTGCTGTCATTCTTGGACCTTTAGTTAGGCTTGGAAAGCCCACAGGGAATAGTTCTCTGTCGCGGGATTGATAAAAGATTTATCCCACTTTTATACTCCACATATAAATTCGTCATTTCATATCGCAGCTATACCATTAAAATAGCATTTACATTTTGAATAAAGTTTGTGATACACGTGATATTTATAAGCGTGGTTATTCATACATTGTATAAACACACTAAGCACACAATATTTATTCGAGGTCGCACTTCTGTTTCGCCTTATCTGATTGGTTAAACGTAAATATTTACATTTGCAAATGTTTATCTTTATATAACACTACTGAAAGTGATGCGTATCTATAACTGTACAAATACAGGTACGGGGTCAAGAGGTCATAGATGTGCGTGTAGATAAACGTTCAACGTAATTTCTCTGTGACGTCATAAAGGGTCGACGCGCGTTCAGTGGATTACATACATGCCGTTGGGTTTGAAAAATAACGCATTTCACACGTTAAAAGTCACAATCAGGCAAATATAAAGTATGAATAAGTCACAAATGTAAATAATTATAAGTAATAAGGTATCATTTCAAAACATCTATCGAGCTATAAATACGGGTTGGTACGAGATTAAATTCTTCATAATCTCGTGACCAACCCGTATCTATATCCCGATAGATGTTTAAAAATGATACCTTATTTCTCAAAAAATTTGAATACCTAAACAATCAGATAGGGCGAAACAGAAGTGCGACCCACAAACTCCGATAAAGCTGACAATGAAGAGAGTTTCTGGATATGTATACTTTGATAAAAACTTCATATTTTCAACTTATTGTCTAAACAGTTTTGTGTGAAATATTGGCATTGCCATTTACTATTATTTATTCCCTCCAAGATGACAGGTGAAGTTTTTATTGTACCCCTTAAGCTCTGTTACCAGACAAATCTTGTAATGAAATCAATTTCTTATTTTCTTATTAGATTTAAAGTCTGGAAAAAATCCAAGAAAATTAGGGTTCATTTTAATATCATCAAGAAACGGATTTTTTTTTTTTTTTTTTTTTTTTTTTTTTTTTTTGTTTAACAAAAAGATTTTATACATGTTGTAGTTATTGTTACCCATTTTCAGCCAGACAATTTTGTCATTTTTTTTTTTTTTTTTGAGTTGGGAAAATTTAAAACAACATCTTTATTAACAACATCTTTCAGGAAATGTATAGGACCTATGAGGCTGTCACTTTAATTTTCTAGAGTTATTATGCATCATAAATTGCAACATAGTTGCACTGGTGGAAAGTACAGTTTTGTTTTTTTAAATTTACTTGATATTATGGTCGTGATTTTTCATTTGAATTAGAACACATAAAACCCTATTTTCAATTTGTACGTCAAATGTTTGACAACCAGATTTTTTTTAAAATCATCTGCATTGTCAATTTATCATGGCCTTAAAAGACCAAATCAAATGTTTCTGTTTATAGTGAATGCTGTCTTCAACAGTAAAGGCTTTGCTATTCACACAAAAGATTGGTCTATCTTGCTATCAAAAATCAGGATTTTTTCACAAGTTATGATTGGAGTTTATTTACACCATTTAAATTTGACTAATCAGCCAATGTTATTATAAATGACAATATCTTCATTTAGGATATCTCTTGACTATGTAGTCTCAGTAATATAACCCTTGTAAATAATGATTCATAAGATAACATCCCATTCTTGAAATTGCTATGGCATATCATCTAACGTGAAGAGTGTGTGCACATAAATGTAATGTAGAACCTTTGTTGTGGATAAAGACTTACAAACTTACTAACAAATAAATCTATCTGCTGGTTAATTATTCTTCGGATACTTTACTTTTTATAAATGCTCTTTATTTATGTTATTAAATGAATGATACAAGATGTTATTCGAGATCAGGCCTGGGGGCCATAAGAATTAGACGAGCTTACTTTTGATCTCAGTCTCACTTTTTTCAAAGGAATATGTAACGGAAAAGTGAGACTGAGATCAAAAGTGAGCTCGTCTAACTTTTATGGCCCCCAGGCCTGGTTACGAAAACAATTCTGAATTTTGATAGCATGAGAGGCTAAGAATTAGTGAAAAGAGTAGCAGACCAGAGATGGATGAGAGGACTGTAATGCAAAAACCACTTATATTATGTGAAAAAGAAATTCCAAGTTCCATCCATTGTTAATCTTGCGAGATCCCGTCATGCTTATCAAATGATAAAATGTTTAACAAGTAACCCAGTAAAGACAGGCAAATGTTACAAATTAGAAAATTTAAGATAAATCTTTTTAGATTCTTTTAAACAATGAAAAAAATACTTAATTGTATAATTTATGAAAAAAAATGATATTAATTGCATTCCTTTTTTTTTTGACATATTATTTCAAAATCAAGTTTCATTGAAATACAATTAACGCATACAATCGCAACTTACAAATTTTAATTCATTTCACAAGTTTTAGATGTATTTTTGGTATGGGAATCAAGATATGCAAATAAAAAAGATAATTTTTTTTTTTTAGATTTTTCTGAGAATGTTTTTGTTCACCTTTTTTTTGTCACCTATTTGACGATTTATCAATAATGATTGCAGCATGTCAAAATTGATATATACTTGCAGTTTAAGCCAGACTTCTGTACTGATATGACCTTGACCCCCCCGAGAACAGAAGTGTCAAAGTCAATGCATTATTCATTAATGTTCTTTACTTTATTTTGGATCATATCCTACTTACAATATCATGAAATATACAAAAAGTGTCTAGAATGAGCGATAACAAATTTGCAATGTATACAGTCAAAAAATTGAAAATGTTGTTCCTTAGTAGCCACTTAATGATCATTAAACAAATAATTGAACTGAAATGGTTATGGACATTGCAGTTCTAATGCCTTCTTGAGAGTATATTCAGATCTTTTTTTTTTTCATTTCAGCATCAATTGTGTAAACTTTAAGCAAAATTATTGAAAAGTGTTGAAAAAGTTGACAAAATGTTGAACGTATTTAACCTATGACCTTCTAAAATAGTTCTAAGTAGGTCAAACCTTAAGACAATTACTCTGCTATAAATTCCTTTTGATTTTATGATCTCACATCCGACTTTAATATGTGCTGGAATGCATAAATGTGTCTAGAATGAATAAAAAAAAGGAAATTTTTGCTCGAAAATTAAAAAAAAAAAACTCCGTTGCTAAGCAACCCCTTTAAAATCATTGTATGCAGAATTGAAAAAAAAAGGTTTATGTGATTCCTGTAGTACAGTAGAATTTTCGTTTGTGAGTATATTCTAAATTTCATATTTCAACGTCATTATTTTAAATTCTTAGTTTTAAGACTAAAAAGTATTAAAAAATTCGATAAGATTTTGCACTTAATTTATTTCCATTTCTACTAATTAGATCAGTCGCTGGGTATCTGAAAAATCATCTCTAAAAAATTCTACAAAATGGGAAGCATTATGCCTAGCTTTCTACTTCGATAAAAAAATGTTAGAAATAATTTGATAATGTTATGTCAAAATGGTCTCTAAAATCATGTAAAATGCGCCGGTAGAGTAAAGGTTAAAGAAATAAAAGATTAAGGTAGGTCGCAGGTTTACTCTTGTCATCAATTTAAGTGCACAATTTCGACGATTTGAGCGATTGTTTTGTGCACATTTGATTATGAAGTCAATTACGTCACAAAGTCAACGTTACGTTGTTTCTGTTTCTGTACAAATCATGTAGATTAATACAAAGTGCATTCTATCGTACCATCTTCGCTTGCCAAGGGTTTTTAATACGCTTCTCTCCTA